AAACACCTCCAGATTTTCTATTTCATATATATGATTTAGGCATAGGCTGAATATAAATAATCTCCTTTCTTGAATATTTACATTCTCATCTAACTATAACTGCCTTAACCCTGCATGAACTCTACCTATGCAAGTGACATGCATTTTAATTGAGCAGCATACACTGAACTTCTTGAAATGAAATGAACATTTTGTGTTTTTTCCCCACATAGAAATGCTGTAAACTAGTAAATATACTATATCCTTTTAAAAGTAATTTTCATTATTTTTTTCAATATGGTTATAATTGTTAAATACCAATTTACATATCAAATATATATAAATGTTAAATGTTCACGTTAAATACCAAAAGCCTGATTACTCGAGCACTCAAAAATATAGACATGTTAAATGCTGAATCACTGCACGTTAACAAAAAGAATGACTAACAGCTCAAATTAAACTGCATGCCACTTATTTTTAATTTTGTATCATATCAGTAATTTTCTTGTTCTGATACAAGCCTTTGCACTCATTTTACTGTCATGCTAGCATTACTTATCCCATAGCTAGAGAACATAATCTGGAATATATTTTTAATACCTTTTTTCAGCTGAGCAAAGGCCCTGGTGATTTGTTTGTGAGAAAAAGTGCAGAGGGTAAATATGTATGTATAAAACACTTTTTCAGATTGGAAGCTATATTAACATACCATACTTAAAACAAACAAGGCATAAATGCATTTGCAATCAATAATTCCAAGTAAAGGAGTCCTTTAAAATCACCACATTCAAAATAGAAGTAGATACAAATCTATTTTAATAATATTTGGGTATAACACAGGACCAGTAAGAGAGAACACTGGGACACCCAGGTCTTGGTAAGTGCTTTGTTACATGACTTTAAGGACAGATCTGAAGAGGAACTGAGGCCCTGTAACACTGCAGCGCCAAACTGCAAAGCACCCGGCCCACTGAACAAAAACCAGGGCCTTTTTTAGATGCTTAAACTTTTGTATACAATACAAGTGAGAGCTAATTGTCCTGGGCCGTGAACCAGTTTAAGGGCAGAATAGCATTTTCTAACAGGAAATTCTCAGAACAGCACATTTGCTAGATCTTTTCCCTTTTAAGTTTACACAGCTTCCCCGCAGCCCAAGGCCCAGGGAGAGATTCACCTCCCCGGAGGATCCATCTTTTCATGAGCGTGTTCTCACACAAAGAAGGCACAGTACACTCTCCTTGAAAAACATGAGGTGCAGAGCAGCTGCAACTTCCCTTTAGTACACTATTTAACTACACAGGGCACTTACCAGGGGGAGTTAGGGTTACACCCTTCCAGTTCTGTCATACTTCAGAGGTAGTATGCTGAAAAACGCCTGTATCAACCAGACTTCACGATACCCTGCTTAGGGCACTCTCCACTCCTTACCTCTTGAAGGTAGGAAAGAGACTACCAACACGACATGGATTGGTTAGGAGGGCTGCCTAGGTTGGAGGGAGTCACGTTCTAGTTTCTGGCTCAAAAACTGTGGAAGAATTTTATCTGAAGATTGCCCAAGGAAACAATTTCCCATTAGTAAATGTGGGACTTGCAGTTCTAGTAACAAGCACTTAAATTTCCTTCTTTTTGTGCGCAAAGGAGTTTTTTGGGCACTCAAATCCCAGATGGGTATCTAAATAAAGAATGAGTCTTTCGAGTTAAGAAAGTACTTCCCAAATTTCAAAACTAATGTCAGTAAAATTATGTAGCACGCAATTCACTTCATGAAGCACAAAGCCCCAGTGGTTTTACTGCAAATCACTCAAGGATTTTTGGTTGGACCTCTGTAAGCTTTGTGTTTCAACTAGTTCAAATGGTTGATTTGATTCAAAAATCAAGAATATTTGCATTTGCTAAAAGGAGCAACAGCTGTAATTGTTGTGGCTGTCCTTACAGTTCCACACAATGTTTAAAAAAAGAGAAAGAAAAACAAGCAAAGGTTTGAATTTGTACAATTTGTACAATTTCTGAGCCAGATCTGGTTGAGAGATGGAGAAGAAAAAAGTCTGCTGGGAACAGAGGAGGATGGTAAATTAGAAATTATGTCTCTTGGTACCTGTTTTGTTTACTAATCAAAGGTCTAATTGCTTTGCTCTATTTTAATTAACAATGTTCTTATCTTAATTAGTTACTTTTCCTGCATACATTAGCATTGAGAGAAACCACTGGGGATATGAATATGATGAAGAGTTTAAAGTTAAGCTTTTAAAAATGTTTTAACAATTTCACAAGGGTTTAATAATGAAAAATAAAGTCATTCTTCATAAATATGGCTACTACTTCTCCAAGTATTTTACCCTAGCCCAAAAAAAAAAAAGTCTTTTTTTCTTTTAACTTAAAAAGTCAACTGGTATCAAATATAATTAACACAGGCGCCAAAAGACCTAATGTAGGAATATGAAAGGTTTGATAGTATTTAGATATGCTAAAACATTCAAGCTGGCCAAATCTTTTGAAACGTCCCAATGTGACAGTCATTCTCTTAAGAACCAATCTCAACATTATTAGCAATTATCTTTGAAACGTAGGGAACTTTATCTTCTTCCCTAACAGAGGCTGGGAAAAGGCAAACAGCGCCCTATGAAAGAACTGGATAACTCATACAAATTGTTCCAATTCCTGGAAAGATATCAGAACAAATAACCTTTATGTAAGTACTTTAATTAACAAGGACATATGTAGCAACTGTTGTCTTTCTCCTATGAACTGTTTTTGACAAATGTGTTTACCTCCTCTGTGGGGCAGGTAACAGGCTTGGTGTATAGGGAGAACTGTAAATCCTCAAGTTTTGGATATAGCCCTGCCTTATGTTCCTGTGTGCAACCTAAGAAGGGCTGGTCTATAGGAAACTAATATTAGTATGTTACACAGCTGGTTAGAAAACCACACACAGTAGTTAGTAGTTCATTGTCAAAGTGGCAATTACAAATTGGGATTCTGCAGAGGCCTGTTCTGAGTGTGCTTACTCTAAGTTGTAAATGAAACAGAAAATATATTCGTTGAACTTGAGGATAACAGCAAAAGGGAAATGTCTGAAAAACACGGCAGTAGATCATTACAATTTGTTTTGAAAAAATGAGGATGTAATTCAATAAGGACAAATGCAAAGCGCTACATTTGGTAGGAATAATCAACTGTTCAAATACAGAATGCAATAAATACAAATATAGGAACAATTGGCAGCTTTTTCAGAAAGGGATGAGGCAACTTTAGTGGAAGAAGTGGAATATGAGTCAGTATCACCATGCTGCTTCACAAACAGCAATCATAATGGGATATATAAAAAGGAGCTGTGAAGTAATCCTGTCCTATCCAACCCAAATAAATAGTTAACTAGAATACTATGACCAGGTTTGATTATCACATATTTGGTAGGGGGGGAAAATGGGGGAGGAAGGTTCACTGAAGATTCTGGAAAGCAACAAAAATGACAAGAGGTGTACAAAATGTGATGAAAACGTGACTGACAAAAAACCCGAAGGAATCCGATCATTAAGTCTAACGATGCCTCAGGAAGACACAGCGATGTAGTTTTCAGGAGTGCAGAAAGTGACTAAGGAAACGAGCTATTCACCATTCTGCTATGTACAAGAAGTAAGTGTTCCTCGCTACAACTAATATCTGTTAAGTTAGACAAACTAAGGACGGCTAAAAGGACTACAATGGATTGTCCAGGGAAGCTTAGGAAAAAATTAGGTATTATCAGAACATCATGTATCTGATTCCATCTTTAGGTAGCAAGAGATTAGGCTAATTCTTGAGGCCTTTTCCAACCCGGTATTCTGACTGCCAATCTTGTACTTCTTTAATGCCACAGCATAAAGAATATTTCAGGCAGAATACTGTAGTAGAATACTTACCACTGAATTGCCTCTGGGAAGAGACAAATAGTAAGCATTGTACAGCTGTAGCAGGGAGAGGAGGCAAAGGGAAACTCAGTCCTTGCAAGAGGATTTGCATTGATTTTAGCCTTGATTTGTTTTGGTACACCTCTGTCAGCTGAGTGCAACTCCAGCATCTTTCTCTTCTTCAGTAAAAGGTCATGCTGCCATTACCAGCCAAACACAAGCTGATATTTCAGTGCCTAAATGCTACTGTCCTAGCACAGCAGCTGAAGAGTGTTATGAATGCAATTATCAGAAGCTAAAAAAATAAATCTTAGAATTGGGTTTCCTAGAAAATGATAATAGCTATTAAAGCCATACTTGGGAAACATTTATTTGTAAAAAGGATGCATTTTGGTAAAGTCACAGCTAACTTCAGTATACTACAAAAGCTGCTTAATGTAAAAATCTGACTTCTACTCAATTACAGCACAGTTCACAGGAACTGCCAGCAACTTTTTTATCACACTTGTATCCATTAGTGAATAGAGGAGGAGCACAAAGCGCTAACACCCAGAAGAACAACTGAGTGTTTTTCTTCATCTTAGTCAAAACTAGCACTAGGGCACGTGACTCTGAGAGACACTGAATGCTTTCAGCTCACACTTGTTACTCAGAGAAGATCAGCTGTTTAAGGACTGGTAACTTGTTTACTTGCAAAGTACATCTCAAATCCAGCCTAAGTCGATTGTGCTTTTAAAAGCTTAACTATTTGGCAAAATGATCATGACCACTATGAATAAGCTGCTAGTTCACCAGCAATGAGGAAACAAGGATTCATAGCACAAAGAACATAAAGTATCTGACATTGCCAGGATGACTGGTAAAGGTTCAACTACAGATAAGCATTTTAGTCCTCATGAATACTGAACTCCACTTTTCTTTCCTTAAGGTGACTCCCTCTAGGAGCTGAGTGAGTGATGCTAACAAGATGCTGAAGAGCAAAGTTCAGTACTGTTGCCTGTATACTAAGTTTTTCATAGCCTACAGAATTTCCTTGTGAGAAATGTTAAATTGAGCAAGAGTAATAAAACTCATTAAACCTCCCTCTTCCCTCCACAAGCCCAGCCAACACAAAATAAGGCTGTGAAAGCACTTGCCACCTTTTGTATTTTATTGTGCATTTCTAAGTGCTTAAAGATACCAAGCAAGACTGTATGCATTATGTTGTCCATATGTAGTATGCCACACAGTAAGAGACAGGCAAATCCCCCAAAGTTTTCATATTCTAATTCAAACAGACAAAAATTAGGTAAAATAGTATTATCTCATTATACAAAAGGCAAACCACAGAAAGTGTCTTAGATCACACAAAATAAAGGCAGAAACTGAAACAGATCTTCCAAATCTGTATATTAAGTCCATCAAAAATACCATGTGCTTTTGGCAACTCTAAAACAGATTAAAAATTGTATGAATCTAGTTAGAGCTTGTCAACTTAGAAAGATTATTTAAAAATAAATTTTAGTAAGTTCCCAATTCAGAAGAAATTCAAGTGTGAAATTCAATCAAATAATAGGTACAAAGGGAATAAACAAAAACCTTTTTCCTCCTTCAATATAAATTAATTGCCAGACCAGTTTGTCATAGATTACTCTTTTTCCTTTCATATAAAGATGCATATAAATTCATGAAGTTATTCTCAGAGGATGAAATTAAGTTGTCAAGATCATAATCAACTTCAAAGGTAGGTCTCTTTCCAAAAATTACAAGAGCAAGAAATACAGCAAAGTGTGCAGTAAGTCCCCATATCCTGAATGACATTTTATGTTCATGGTCGTCATATGTAAAGCAGTGCACCCAACTTAAGTGACCAGATGAGTTTTTGTAAGGCAAGGTCTTGTAATTTAAGGGCTTGACAAAGTACTCCAATGGCACGATAAAAACGTCGCTCACTTCATCTGGATTAGGAACGGCCTGGAACGTATCCTCTATAAATCCTACAACTGGTGTTACCAAATGATTCATCTAAAAGAAAAAAAAAAAACAACAAAAACCCCAAACAGTAAGTTTGTACCAAGTAAAAGAATGTTCTTTATTTTAAAATTTTATCTCATCAAAATTTGATTTGTTACTGCTTATGTCCATTGCCTCAAGAAGAGTCTGCTATCACCTTCTCTGTAACCACCCCGGAGGTACTTGAAGAGAACAATTAGATCCCCTGCTAGCTTTCTCTTCTGCAGGCTGAGCAAACCCACTTCTTTCAGTCTCTCCTCATAATCCATGTGCTCCAGCCCCCTTCCTATCTTCGTGGCTCTCCACTAGGCTCCCACCAGTTTACCACTGTCTTTCTGGTACTCCAGTGTGTCCATAACTGGACATGGTACACCACATGTGGTCTCACAAATACCAAATAGAGAGCAAGAATCTCTTCCATGCACGCTTTAAGAAGCGGTGGTTATTTACAGTTACAGGTTTCAAAAGGTCATTATCAACCTTACAAAAGAAAATAACCCAAGCTCATTTTCTAATGATATGCTGACTTACTCAGTTTATTGCTTACTTTATCAATTCCAGGCACGAGCCTACAGATGACTTCCACCTTCTCTGGCTGGAGTCCCACTTCTTCTTTAGCTTCTCGGAGAGCAGTATCAATTTCATCTTTATCACTTGCTTCACTTTTACCTCCTGGAAAACACACTTCCCCTGGTGATCTTCTCAGCTAGAATTTAAAGGAGCACTACTGTTAAATGTAACAAGTTTTACATTTCTTCTCGGATCCACACAGACACTTGTTCATATTGCACTTTATGTTTGATTTATCTTTCTAGTCAAAGAAGCTGGAAATTGTGGTAAGAAGTTTCTGCAGATCAGAAGAAATATGCCTTATCAAGAGCTACACAGAAAAAAGTTGGGCCTATACTCAACTAATCCATGAACCCTCGTATCAGAAATACACATCACTTGTACAGTGTTGTGTAATTCACACTGTACATAACTTCAAAATTTACATTTTTCATCATCTTGCTTGAGTAAGAGACTGACAGATGAATCTAGACAGACAACTTGAATAGTGAGATTAAAATACTCAAGGTAAGAGCAAGAACTTCTAAAATACACATTTAAATAACATACCTTTAAGTACATTATAGTAATAGGCTTGCGCATCGAAGATCAGCAAAAAGCCCATTTACAAACAGTTTATCAGCTAAGTAACTACAATTATTAGGGTCTTAAAATTTCTAAGCAAGACCCAAAAAACTTCCATTTTTCAGCAACAAAAAACCAGACAAGTAAATAATCTCTGAATACAGGCAGTCGATCGGGATGGGGAGGGGTGGAAAACAAGAGCTGTAGAAGAGCTTGTAGAAGAAAACAAAATGCTGGCAGAAGAGTTCTGGGGGACTTGGGTTGTTGCCTTTCCTTTCATATATGAAAGGGAGAGAAGAGTAATATTAAATATAGATTGGAAAGTCACATTAATAAAAGCTGCACTGCATTGTCAGTTTTCTTATTTAAGTCATAGTAAACAATCAACATTTCCTTTTCTGATCTGGAAATCATCTTTTACTGTCACAGGTTCCTGGGTATCCGGCATTTTCCCAGCACGTAAATACCAGTCATCGGTGTATAAAAGCATCTGCTTGTCACCTTGGGCATGCTGCCTGGACTGGAGTTTGAACAGCAGGCCCAGAACGCGTGGTAAGGATGGGACTGGGGCGAACACCCGAGCGAGAACACGGCGAGCGCTTCCCTGTACGCATCTCGCCGATGCTTCACTCGCGTCCCTCGGAGAGCTCGGCCCCGCGGACGGCAGGTGCTGCGCTGCGGCAGGCCCCGGCCCC